GTGGTCTTCTTTCCTAATTATCTAATGGAGAGGATCAGACAGGGCCATCCTGGTCCACCCAATGTGAAGAGGAAAATATTGCCAGCAGTTTGGGGAGTGGCATCGAGCTGACCACGCCCACTCAGTTGGCCACACCCATCCAGTCAGCATGCCCCCCCCCCAGGTCAAACACACCCCTGATGCGGCCATCAATAAAATTGAGTTTGACACCCCTGGTGTAGGGTCTCCTGCTTGAGCAGGGGGGGCTGGACTAGATGACCCACAAGGTCCCTTCCAACTCTTGTTAATCTATTTAAAAAACCGATCGAAAGGACCCACGCCAGAAAAACAGGGGAAGGCAATTTGCTCACACTGAAAAACAACAACAGGGGAAAGCAATTTGCTTGCCACGGGGATAAACCTGTGATTTCATAAATACGACGGCATCCAAGCATTGCAGGGAAATGCCATTCACCGCCTCTTAAGAAGCACGTTATCTGGCCCTCAAGCACACGAGGCTGATCATCTTTTCACCTTGAATGAAGGGAAGCAGGTGCGAGGCAGAGAAAGGGAGGAGAAAACCCACGAAGCGAAGCAGGGCGTGAATGCTTAATTTTATTTTTCAATTCCACCAGCCTTTTTTAAAGGGCCATAAAAGCTACGAGGCTCGAATTGTCCAATTTTGCATGCAGTTGGAACTTCGGTCTCGTCAAGTTGACCACTGAAGGATACACGGACAGTCCTCGACTTTACGACCACAATTGAGCCGCAAACTTTCTGTTAGGGTGTGAGACCTTTGCTAAGTGAAATTCCCCCACATTCTATAACCTGTCTTGTCAAGTGAATCCCTGCCGTTGATGAATCACCCGTGTTTTCCCCAAAATAAGACCCTGTCTTGTATTTTTTTTTGGCCACCAAAAAAAGGCGTCAGGTCTTATTTTTGGGGTGGGGAGGTGGGGAAATGTTGTCCACTGATTCATTTTCACTTGCGTGGGTCACCCCCCGCCCCCGGACTCCTTTTGACTGCCGGAGTCTCTTCTGCGCCTGGCGAGGCTTTCCCGAAGGCTTCTGCAGCTGATGATAGAGCTCTGGATCGATCTGCCGCTCCGTTATCGGCTGCAGAGGCCTTCAGGAAATCCTCGCCGGCCTGGGAGGCGTTGGGGTGTGCCAGGCCCAGCTGCAACTGCCAGAAAGTAGGGCATCTCCACCCACCCATCCCAACCTTAGCTTAATTTATATCCGAGTGCCCTGGAATGTGTGTGTGTGGGGTCTTAATTAGTATTTATTTTAGGGTAGGGCTTAACATTGGGCACATGTGTGGAAAATCAAGTTAGGACTTACTTTCACGGGAGGTCGTATTTTTGAGAAAACACAGTAGTGACAAGGTCGCTAAGTGAATCGGGCCTCACCCTTGACTCGCCAAAGCCGATCCCAGAATCCCGAGACATTACACCGCTCGTCAATCAGAGTCAGCTCCCAAGCGNAATATAGGTAAACAATATTTGGTTATAAATAGCTAAGTATAAATAAACATAGAATTGTACATAAAAATGGAGAACGAATAAGGGGACCATGAATGCAAGATAGAAATGTATAGAAGGGAAAACACTAACTTACAAAGAAACCGATATGGAACTGCAATATGATATACGATGGAACTTCTTGTTCCTATGTTGTTTTAAGTCATGTGTTTGTTTTTGTTGATGTACTTATGTGTTTAAAATAATTTTTTAAAAAAGGGTAATGAATAAGGGGAAATGTAGAAAGAAAATTAAATATATACTAATACACCTTCTGACTACAGCTAGAATAACGTTTGCCCAATGTTGGAAACAAAGTAATATCCCCCCCCCCCCGACCAATTAGTGATTCAGAAAATTTTAGATTGTGCAGAAACGGACAAGTTAACATTAAGACTAAAGGATAAAGAAGAGCCTGAATACTATGAAATTTGGGATAATTGGTACAAATGGTTGCAAAACAGGAATAAAATTAATTCAGCCGAGAAACAATAGAGATATGTATAGAATGTATATAACTATAGAATGTATATAACTATAGAAGCGAAATAAGATTGATATGTACCAGTATGAGGACACAACAATGTTGATGTGATGATGGTAAGATGTCAGGGAATAAAAAAATCTGCGGTAAAAAAAATGATAGCAAATATGATACTTTGATATAAACAGATAAGTATAAATTATTACGGAATCGAACATAAAAATGGGTAATGAATAAGAGGAACCACGAATGAAAGACATAAATGTATAGGAGGGAAGATATTAACTGTAAAGATACAACGATGTGGAACTGCTAAATGATGGAACTTTTAGTTCTGGGGTTGTTTCAAGTTATGTGTTTCTTTTTGATGATGTGTTCAAAATTTGAAAAAAAGAAATTGGGCTTCTGGCTTCAAACGTTACCTGCTCCGAGCCCGGAGGGACGCTGGTGTCCTGACTTCGGGTGATCATCCGTCGTGGAGAGGTGGGCCCCACCGAGGGTCTCTCGGCCGCGGGAGCAACGTTGGAGGGATTCTCCAGCTCGGTTTCCGCGGACTCCATCTGGTGGAAACTCCAGAGTCCCACTTTCCTTAAGCAACGGCAGCAGCTGATCAAGGGGAGGTGGACGGATCCAGAGGGAGGGCTAGGAAAAAGACCCCCACCCCAAAGAAAATTAACTTGAGGATCCAAAGCCAAGCACAATTTAAATACGTACAGGGAGGTCCTCGACTTACAACCACAGCCGAGCCGCAACGTGTTCGGTGGCTACACGAGACAAGCTGTTCGGGGAGCGTTGGCCCATTGGACGACCGTTCTCGCCACCGCCACTAAGTGAATCGCTTGCCGTTGTGAAGTTAGTAACCCGGTTGTTAAGCGAATCTGGTTCCCCCCCCCCCCGCAAGGACTCGGCTGGTCGGAAGGTCATAAAAGGGGATTGTGTGACTCCGGGACACTGCAACTGTCGTAGGCCCATGCCAGTTGCCGAGCTTTTGAATTTTGATCAGGTGACCCAGTGGTAGGATTCAAATTTTTTTTTACTACCGGGTCTGTGGCCGTGGCTGGGTGGGCGTGGCAGGATCAGGATACTGCAAAATCCCCATTTCCTCCCGATCAGCTGGGACTCGGGAGACAGAGAATAGATGGGGGCGTGGCCAGCCAGAGGTGTATTTGCCGGTTCTCCGAACTACTCAAAATTTCCGCTACCGGTTCTCCAGAACCTGCTGAATGCCGCAAGTGTGAAAAAAGAGTCTTGTCCCTTTTTTCAGCGCCGTAACTTCAAAAGGCCACTAAACAAACTGTTTATAAGTCAAAGACTATCCGTACTGTGTGCATTTTTCAAGCACTGCATTCCTTGAGTTACACCACGACTGAGCCTGGAATTATTACAGTTGTTAAGTTGTGATAATCCTTAAGTGGGCTCATCGTGTGACCCGCCCCTGATCTTACGACCTGTTTCGCGGTGGTCATTAAGCGAAGACGGTGGCCATAACACAAATCTGGCAGTTGTTAAAGAGAATCGTGGTATGAACGTGGGTTCTTATTTTATTATTTTTATTTCTTTTATATTGTGCTTTTATCTCCTGGAGTCGCCAAGTGCGAGCAGGCGGCACTGTAAAATTTCTAAATAATGAATAAACGACGAAATCAATTCATTTTCCGCAGGTGGAGTGGTGGGGTGGCCTAGAGGTGGAGCTCTGGCCTCCTGTAACGTTCCCGTGGGTCGCCCATGAGGCCAATGTGGAGAAAAGACACGGACACAATCTTTCTCGGGATGGAGCGACCCAGATTGGG